GCGAGCATATCCTCTGCATTGCGGCGTCGGCCGCAGCCGAGCAAGGAGAGACGTGCTTGCCACCCGCGCGAGTTCAGGAGTGTCGGTTGCGACGGAGCTGCGTCATGTCCAGTGCTGTGCAAATGCGTGCGGTCTGTGAGGGCGCTGACGGGATTGCTGGAGTTGTTCGATGAGTTGTCACGTTGAGGCGAACTGGGTATTATATTTTTGAGTGAGACGTGGATGGGGTGATGCAGAGGGGCAGTTCGGCCGCGCGTTCGCGGGGGGCGACGGCTGCGGGCGCTCGAGAGTCGCCGGTGTCATCTTTCACCTGCGTTGGAAGAACATCGCATTATCATTTGCAGCTCGATCGGATAGGTTGTTCTGGGTCGACGTCGAGGCTTGCGCCTGTCTGCTCGGGGTGCCTCCTGCGCGCGCGCCGCGCGCTTGGTTGCCGGGTGAGGAAGTTGGGCCCCCGCGCGGAGATATGTCGTCAGCTGACAGCGCAGCGATGCTAAGAAGTATGCGTTTTATTGTTGGCGGTTATTTTAGTACTTCGGTTGGGGCGCTTCTGCACTTGGGCGGCCGCCGTGGAGGGGCGAGCGCGGGGGGCGCCGCCCGCCTTCCCGCCCCCGAAGATCCGCGCGGCCTTCCGGGCCACGAGAGGGGGCGAGGAGGGGGGGCGAGGGCGAGTCGGGGGCGGCTAAGGGGGGGGTGATGACTGGGGGGGGGGGGGACATCATGGCGCGGGCCATGATATTTCCTTAGATCTCTTGGCGCCTCTGCTTATTCCGTTTCGTCCTGGGCCCCCTTCCCCTTGGGCCCCGCGCGCGCCGCCGGCCGTGATTCGCGCCCCCCCCCCTCTTGGGCGCCCCCCGCCTGGCCGCTCCCGAAAGAGCCCCAGCGCGCGAGGCTCGCGCGGCCGCCTCGGCTTTCGCGCGTCCGCCGGCGCGCCGGCGCCAACCGGCGAGCGAGGGGGAAACTGCGCGGGGTCGGGTTGCGGCCCCCGTCGCCCAAGCGGCCGCGCGCCGTGGCGCAGCGAGCCGCCGGGCCAGAGCGGCAGGCGCCGGCCGCTCTGCCCTCGACGCGCTCGTCGTTGCGGCCGCCGCGGAGCTCTGCTCGTCCATTCGCGGCGCCGCGGGGCAGCCCGCGGGCTCGTCTGGCTCCGCTCGCCGCGGTGGCAGCGGTGGCCCGTTTGGCCACCCTCGCGCCGCCTGTTCGGCCCCCCGCGGGGTGCATTTTCTTGTCGGCGCAGCTGCCCCGCAGGATGCTGCTGCGGTGTGGGACGCGTGCTGGGTCATATATTGGGACATGATGGTTGGTCTCAGCGGGGACAGGGGGTGCAGCTAGAATCGCCCGGACGGGGCGCCCCCGCGGGCGGGTCTGACCTCCGTGGCTGAAGCCCGCGCCTTTGGCGCAAACCCTCTGGCCGCGGCGGACTCGGTGGTCCAAAAACGGTTCCTGTGCAAGACGGTTCCGTCCACGTTGCGGACCTGCGCATCGAATGTGCGCATGAGTAGAGTTGCCACAATTTGTGTGCGGGCCTCCGCGCAGCGTGGGTGGCTGAGCGCGTGGGCCCTGGCGCGCCAGGTCGCTGGCGTTCCCTGGCAAGGAGATCAGGGTGTAATCTTGCGCGGCGTTTGTTTGGGCGCATCCATGTGCTGGGCGCCCCGGCTACCCCGGCAACGGGTTGGCCGGCTGCTGCTGCGGCGATTGCTCCGCATCGCGCTGTCGCGTCAGCGCTGGTGGTGGTGCGTCATTGGAGCGCTGGGGCTTTTATTTTCTTGTTTGTCTGTTGCGGATGCCATCCGAGATGGTCCAAGAGGCGCCCAAAACGGCTTACGATATCCCCGATACGGCCCAAGAAAAGGTCAAAGAGGGCTCCATCGTCGGCTGACAGAGCGCTTCAAGAGAACCCAAGAGCGTTCGAAGATGGCCGAAGGTGGCCTCATCATGGTCCAAGAGGGTCTACTAGAGCTCACGATGCCGTCAAGAGGACCCCCCAGGGGGCTTCAGCAGACCGACGACCTTGATTTTCCACAGGAGTTTGCTGGTTTTTAGGGTTCTCGCCTTTTCGGGCTTCCGACGGTCCAAGACGACCCAAAGGGACCGACATATCGCCTGAAGACGACCCAACAGGCCCCTTAAGAGGGCCCCAAGATGGCCCAGAAAGCCCCAAGGCGGCCCAAAAAGGGCCCCAGGAAGGGTCCAGATGGACCCCTAGAGGCTCACCAGAGAGCCGCAAGAGGGCCACGGGAGGCCGCCCAGAGGGCCGCAGAGGACCCCGAGAGGACTCGAAGACGGCCCAACCTCTCAAAGACGGCCCAAGAGGCTCCAGGGATGCCCCCAAAAGCCTCCCCAGATGACCCCCCAGACGGCCTGAGGAGGTGAGACATATCGTTTTCCTGTTGCAACCCACCAGGATTACACCAGGAAGTGGACGACGAACATGATGAAGACGACGACTCGAACAGAGAATCCCCTCACACACGCCGACAGGGTCGGCGTTTTTTGGATTCCGACTGAGATGCCGATCTCACAATGGAGGCTTTATTAGCTTGCCGATTACGCCGATTCGACTCCTCCCGAATTCGCTGCCGATTTCCGCCGATCCGATTCATGTCGATCGCCGATCCGACTTGATTGCGTTATGAGCTATCCTGCCTCTCGTCCGACCCGATCCTGGATGCCAAGCAACCTGGGCTTAGGAAGGGCTCTGTTTTTCGGACCTGCTCCTCGGATCTATCGGGAAAGCCGCTCCGTCCGTTCACTCTGCTGTGTTCCTCAAGGGCACGGGATCGTTTTCTTATTCATTGTTTTGCCGATCGGCGCGGGCCCTCGCACCCCACCCCCCATTGAGTAGACCTTGACTGTTTAGGGCGCCTGTTTCGAGCAGGTGGAGTCTCCCTCATAGGACGCAGTGCCACAAACAGTGGCATGAAGCAGAGGTCGGAGCCAGACCCCTCCCTCCCCTGCCCTTCCGCCCAATGTCGAAACGCCGAAAAAGAAAACGCTCACCACCTTAGGGGGGGATCTGCTCAGCGGGTGACACATCGGTCCGCAATCGCCCACTGATCGCAGATGGGGGCCTGATAGCCCACTGCGCCCAGGAATGTGGGGATTCGCTGTTTGGGGCCTATCGCCGATCTATCGGCGATGCATCGCCGATTCCAGGTCGATGCTTCCTCTCCTGAGCTGGTTTCCCATCTGGCGCTTCCCCTCAGTTTCCGTTCCCTGAGATCCGGCGTTGCAAACAAAATTACAGCATCGCCAGGAGATCACGACTGGACCCCCAGAGTGTTCTGCGTCGTTCTTCGAGCCGAATCGATCCGTGAGGGTCCCTGGGCCCGAATTCGAGCGATGATGATGATGATGACGATGATGATGATGATGATGATGATGATGATGATGATGATGATGATGATGATGATGATGAAGATGATGATGATGATGATGATGCTGATTCTGATGATGCTGATGATGCTGATGATGATTATGATCCTGATGCTGATGGTGCTGATGATGCAGATGATGATGCTGCTGATGCAGATGATGATGATGATGCTGCTGCTGCTGATGCTGATGATGATGATGCTGATGATGATGCTGATGATGCTGATGATGCTGATGATGCTGATGATGCTGATGCTGATGCTGATGCTGATGATGATGCTGATGATGATGCTGATGATGATGATGATGATGATGATCATGATGATGATGATGATGATGATGATGATGATGATGATGATGATGATAATGAGGATGAGGAATAATAATAATGATAATACGATGGAAGATAATAATAAGGATAATAGTACTAATAATAATGATAATATTAGTAATAAGAAGAAACACCATAATAATACTACTGATAAGAATACTAATCATAATACGAAGAATAAGCACACTAATAACACGAATAAGAAAACTAATAATAACAATAATAATAAGGATAATGCTGATAATCGTAATACGAATAATAAGCATAATACGGATCATGATAATAATAATAATAGTAATAATGATAATAGTAATAATGATAATAATGATACTAATGATAATAATGATAATAATGATAGTAATGATAATAATAACAATACTAATAATATTATTATTATTAAAAATAATAATATTAATAATAATAATCAGAAGAAGAATATTCAGAATATTAAGAATAATAATAGGACTAATAGTGTTACTCATAGTAATAAATATAATACTAATAATGATACTACTACTAATCATAAAAAGAAGAATAATATGAAGAGGAGGAGGAAGAGGAGGAGGAGGAGGAGGAGGAGGAGGAGGAGGAAGGGGAGGAGGAGGAGGAGGAAGAGGAGGAGGAGGAGGAGGAGGAGGGGGAGGAGGGGGGGAACGCCTGGCTCGAAAACATGTAGTCGCCAGGATCTCAGGGGTCCTTGCGGCAGGACGCTGGCCGTGGGGGCCGGAGCCCGCGCCGCCTGCCGCGTGCAGGCCGTGCAGTGGAGACCAATGCCAGGAAGCACCCTGCTTGCCTCGGGCGGCACCCGTCCTGGGGCACCCGTCCTGGGGCCCGGCTTGGCCCCGCCCCCCCACCCTCGGCCCCCGCGCTTCCCCAGCCTTCCGACGAGACGATCTTCTGCAAATCGCGGCGCGGTCTCTTCCTCTCGTCCTCGGGCTCCGTCTCTGGGCCCCAGGGGGCTACAGTGGAAGCCCGTGCCGAGAGACGCCCTGCTTGCCTCCAGGGTGGGGTTGCTTTGGTTTCGATGGTTGTGCTACAGTGCCGTTTTTAATACATGCTCGGCGTGCGGATCATGTATTACACCAATGATGAATGTATGTATTGATTTTTTAGTACATTAATCATGTATAACAAAAATCCAAGGTATTAAACATCCGATGTATTAAAACCTGCCCTGAATAGAGAGAGCGTGACGTTCCCGCACGTCGGAATTCTTGTGGAAGGTTTCTCGTGGTCGAGCTGCTGCTGTGTGGCCGGGAGGCTCCCTGGGCCGGCCGCGCCCCTTCGCCCTCGCGAGGACCCGGGGCGACCGCGGCCTCCTCTCGCTCCGCGACTGCGACGGCTTCACGCCCTTCCTCATCTCGGCACGCCGCCCGCCTCACTCGGGCCGAACGAAAGGGGGTAATTCCCAAAAGTAGTCTGGGAACTATTTCTTCTATGTTTGACTATTCTTGAATGTGTTTCTACTATTATTCATTTCTCGTCCAAGATCTGCCTCTAGGGGGACATGCCCGGCCTACTACTATCGGGCCGGACGAAAGGGAGGGATTGGGACAGGGGGGGGTACGAAATCTGCTAAATGCAGCTGGTTTCGGCCCCGCCGCTGGGCCTATTCCTCGACACATGGGCGCCTCCCGGCGCCGGGAGGCGCTGGGAAAGTCAGCTACGTGAGCTGATTCCCAACCCCCCCTTTGCTATCCCCCCCTTTCGCCTGGCCCGACTTTCCCACTGCCAGAGGAGGAGAATCTGCCCATGCCGCTGCCCTGGCCTCGTCTTCCTTTTTTGGGCCTCCCGGGAGGCCCTCGTCGCCACCGCTGGAGTCGCCTCGGAGTCCTGGTCCGCGGAGTGGTTCGCGGGGAGAGGTACGCGGAGTGGCGGTATGGGTAATTACCCTTTGTTTTCCCCGCGCTGGGCGCCCGACCACGTTTATTCGGCGGCACGCCGCGGGGGGACGTAATTAAGCGTAAGGGGGGCAGGCCTTCTCTGAAGTCCAGGCCTTCCAGATGGGGTCAGAGCGGATGGGGTCGGAGGATCGTACCGCATCGCCTACTCCCGGGTTTCTTCATAAGCGTGGGCGGCGGGTACCCCCCGACGGGGGTCAACCTCGCCTCGTCGCCGCGCGGGCACCGGAACCCGACATCGACCCCAAGATCCCTTCTGGAAAAGAACTGTCTTCGGGCTCACGTGTCCCGCGTCGATGAATGTCAGCCGTGCGCGCGCGGGAGCAACGCGGGCCTCCTCTAGTTTTAAGTCGGGCCTGTCCCCCTACAGAAGATTTTCGACGAAAAATAAAAAATACTACAAAAATAGTATACTCCAAAAATAGTCTGGGGACTATTTTTTGAGTATTTTCTGACCTTTTTGGTGCATTTTTTTATATTTCGTCGAAAATCCCCCTGTAGGGGGACACGCCCGGCAGAAGTCTAGTTCCTCCAAAGTGAATTTTTAGGACTTCCATGGGCCGCGCGCGGCCCGTGGGCTGCGCGAGCCTCGCCAGCCCCACGAACCCACAGTTCCCAGAAGGGTTCTCTTGGCCACGTGGGCGCCGCAGCGCGCACGGGCCGCTCGAGCCCTGCGAGCCGCGCGGTCCCCATGATTATGCCCCTTGAGAGTCGTCAGGGCCGCGTCGGGGTCCTGGGCCCTGCGAGCCCCGCGGACCGTGCCAACCCCACGGGCCCTGGGGTCGCCATGGGCCCCTATGGGGGTGTTTTTTTTTACCATGCGAGCCCCATGGCCTGTGAGTTCGGCGAGCCATGTGAGCCACCTCACGTCTTGCGGGCTCCGCTGGGCCGCCCTGCCCCCGCAGGGAAAGGACCCCAAGCTCTTCCAGTGGGGTCGTGGTGCCGGTGCCGGCTTTTCGTCCCCGCCAACATTGGAAAGCCGACACCAGCACCAAGGCCCCCGCTGGAACGACGGGTGGTGCGGAGCCTCTCGACGAATTCGGAAGTTGGCCAGGGCCTGTGGGCCAGGGTTAAGAGGGCGCCACGCTCTCGGGCCCTGGCCGCGCAGGGCAGCCACGCCCCTCCCCAGCGCGGGGTGTAGGCGGTGGAATCGGAATCGTCGGGTGGTAGCGTCGGGCTTGCAGAGTGTCAGGGATGCGACTGGGGGCGGGCAGGGGGCGCGTGGGAGGAGGGGGAACAGACAAGGAGGGGGGCCAAACGGGTGGGGGGAGGCGCGGAGGACGGCGGCGGTGGAGTGGGAGGCTTGCGTCATAGAGGAAACCGCATCCTTCCCTCTGGTCCCCCCTCTCCTGAGAACGCCCGCCAACTTCGCCTTTCGTCTGCACTTTTGTTTCCTGCTCTCCCTCCTGCGCGCTGCGCGATGCTTCCCTTCCCCTCCCTCCCCACCCCCCCCCGCGATTCCGAAGGCCAGGGCGGGCTCACGTTGGCCCAAATATCAGGTCCAATGTTTATGCCATTCTTGGCGACGGTGTCGTTTTTTTGTCGCGCCGCGACGGGGGTCGGAACGCCTTCGGCGCGCGGTGGCTGCCCACGACGAGGGTCGATGTGGGGCTGTCGGCGGGGGTGATGCCCCCCCGACGCTTCTTAAGAAATTCGGAGTATGCGTCGGCGGTGCGGCTCGACGGAGAGCCCGATCTTCTCCACGCCGTCGTCGCCGATGCACCGCCCACGTCGCCGATGCATCGCCGACGCATCGGCGATGCGGCGCGATTCCCCGACCCCATCTATTCGGACCCCATTCGGGAAGTCTTTTCAGAAGGCGGCGAGGTTTGGGAGATAGCGTAGCAAGCTCGTCAGGGGGCCTCCCGCCTTCGAGAGAAGGACCGCCCTGCCCGGCCCTGCCCTCCCTGGCCGCGCCGCCGAGTTCTGGCCTGCTTGTTGTGCCTCTGGGTCGCCACGAGGGAAACATCGGGCGACGACACCCATGCACATATATATATATATATATATATATATATATATATATATATATGTGTGTATGTATGTATATATATATATATATATATATATATATGTGTCCACCGCCCTTAGCCTGGCACATCCCGGGTCCAGGAGCAGTGCGTGTGCCTCCCTGGCAAGCCAGGGGGCGCATGCACCGCTCCGGGGCCCAGGATGGGCTAGGCGCGTGGCCAGGCGCGGTGGACTTGCAGATGATGCCATCGCTCTCGTCGTCCTGGGGGAAGTGGGTCCTCGACTTCCTCCTCCTCCTCCTCCTCCTCCTCCTCCTCCTCCTCCTCCCCTCCTCCTCCTCCTCCTCCCTCCTCCTCCTCCTCCTCCTCCTCCTCCTCCTCCTCCTCCTCCTCCTCCTCCTCCTCCCCCTTCCTCAGGACCAGGTTTTCTTTGTTCCGCTGCGCGCCCCAGGGGGGGGGGAATGAGAAGGAGCAGGCCTTCTCAGAAGGCGGACGGGGCTTCTCAGGAGCCCTCCGGCCCTCCGAGAAGCTTTCTGCTTCGGGGAAGGCCCAGAATACGTCTCAGAAGGCTGGGGGCCTCTCGAGCCCTCTGAGGATGCCCGCCCCTTCTCACTTCCACACGGGCTCGCCGCCGACTCGTGCTGGTCTGGAGACCTGCGCTTTCCGCCCAGAGGCATCCGCCCAGTTGCGGCCTGCCCGCGCCGCTCCGACTCGGGCGGCGACGCCTCTCACGAGGTTGGCTTCTTCTCTCGCGCTGCTTTTTGGGGGCTCGGGGCGCTGGAGGCTTCGGGGGAGGGCGGGGGCAGGGTCGCCTGCGATCCGATTCGCAGCGATTCCATTGGCCTGCTGGGACCGCGGTTCGGATCCGATTCGATGCGGTTCCACTTACGGGCGTCGGCCAGGGCCAGCTGGGGCGGGGCGCGGCGATCCGATCCGCTGGCGATCGGGCCCGCTCCCGATCCGATCCGATATCTCGACCCGATCTGGCTCGGGCCCGGGGGCGCCTGTGGCCACTGCTGGACGCGTCTCGAGCAAGCGGCCGCTTTGGATCGGCATCCCCCCAACATACTTATACTATATGTGCGTCGCCCCCCCAGGGGCGACGCGCGCACCGAGAAATCTTGTAGTATATGCGTCGTGGCGGGCGCTTTCTGGCCACACCGCTCGGGAAACGATATACTACAAGATGGGTATACTATATGTTCGGGTCGGACGCGCGCCTCCAAGGAGGACATATAGTATTAGTATGTCCATGTGCGTCCCACCCTGGGCAACCCGACCTCGTCGGTTGCGCAGGTCCGAAGGGCTGCGCAGCACCGGTGCGCGCGGGCGATGCGCGGGGCTGCCCACAGCGAAGAGGTCGAGCGGTCGGCCGGCACCTCCCCCCAGCGGGTCGCCCGGGCTGTCGTCGTCTTACCCTCGACATCGGGGGCGGAAAAGAGGGGGGTGATGACTAGGGGGGGGTGGATATCATGGCGCGGGCCATGATATCTCCCCAGATTTCATGGCGCCTCTTCTTATTTCATTATGTCCCTGGCCCCCCCGCTGGGCCGCGCACATGCCGCCGGTCATGATTTGCACCCCCCCCCTCTTGGACACCCCCCTCTTGGCCGCTCCCGACGACAAGCTGAGTCTCGAATCCGTGTTGCGCAGAGCTCCCTTGCCGATGTGACGTTCTGCTTTTGGGTGGCGTTGCGTGCCAGGTACCTGTTGGCGGCGCCCCCCTCCAATGTCGGCCATCGCGGAACTTGAACTTCCGAGACGCACCCTCTCAGACCGCGTTTCGCCTTGCGTCGACATTGAAGGGGGACACCATTGAAAGGGTGAATGGAGGCGACTGGGCGCGTCAACCATTTGTGAGGTTAATCTTGTCCAGGGTTGTATGCGCGCGTCGGCACTCCAGGGACGACGCGTGCGTTCTGAAACCTTATGGTATATGCTCGTTGGCGTGCACTTTCTGGCCATATCTCCTGAGCAACTATACGCTTTGCGACATGTGTGCTAGAAATCAGTTTCGGACGTGCGCTTCCAAGGTGTGTGCATATTACTAATCTGTCCCTCTGCGTCCCATACAGGTCCGGCCCCTACTGCACCGTCGGTCCGCTGAAGAAGGAACCCTCAACATTGGGGAGGGGCGCAGTGTTCCTTAGCTGTGTTGCAGCTTGTCTTAGTTTTTCCTCAGGCCTTCTTAGAGTTAGAGGACGTCGAAGTTACAACTCATGGAAAGAGGGGCCTCCTTCCTCGTTCAAGGTTCCTTGCGACAGCGTTTTCATTGTAATTTTGGAGGGGGCAGCGCACCTCCACCCCTGTCTGCCCCCCCTACCCCCTCCGATTCTCTGCAAAGAGAGTTTCGAGACCCGATTGTGAGGATTCGGAGGTGGATAGACCTCCTACCCTGGCACGTCGATTGGCGAATCGGCTGTTTTCGGTTCGCGCGAGAGGGCGTCGCGGCCGTCACTTCTGAGGCTCCGGGTCCGTCGGTTTCGATCCCTGGCCGTTTTCACTAAAGGGAGGTTTACTCAAGGAGGAAGAGGAGGAGGAGCAGGAGGAGGAGGAGGAGGGGGAGGAGGAGGAGGAGGAGGAGGAGGAGGAGGAGGAGGAGGAGGAGGAGGAGGAGGAGGAGGAGGAGGAGGAGGAGGAGGAGGAGTTTGTCCATCGCCGCCGAAGGAGACTCCGAGAAACGGCACGCAAGGCTCCTCGTGGCCGGGCCCCCCCACACCAGACGACACCTGCCGCGTGCGGCGGGCCTCGGCCTCGAGCCGCCAGGCACACGCCTCCTCGACGCACGGCCGCCCCCCCCCCCCCGCAGGCCTCGAGGCCGCCGGCAGGAGGTCTCGAGGGGGGGATCGGCTGCAGGACTGGTTCGAGCCCCAAGTTGATCCAAGCGATCGCGACCATGGATCAAGGGGGCGTGGATCAGCGACGAGTCCCGTTTCCATGGGAGATCCCGGAGTTCCGCCGCCGAGCGAGGCGGCACCGGCCGCGTTTTGGGGAGATGCCCGCCAAATCCATGGATCGCTAGTCCACGTTTGTGCGCCCCCGATTTATGTGTTCGTCGAGGTCTGCGAAGAATGCGTCGATTGCTGCGTAGAGCATTCTACGCATTCTTTCGTGGACTCGACGGAAGACCAATCTGTTTCGAACGCCCCTATTCGGAAGCCGGCTGCGTGCAGTCGGATCTCTCCTCGAAAGCTGGCTGCGTGCAGTCGGATCGTGACCCCACCCTTGTGTGCTGGTCGGAGAACAGAAACACCATACACGTACACTTTGGGAGGTCCGCGCGGATTGCTTCGATTTGCGCCGGGCCCCCTGGCGGCGCCTCCGGCGCCGCCCCTGGCGCGCTCCGCATGCCAGGGAGGGGGTCCAGCTCCGATCCCAAAAATCCGCGTGGAGCTCCGCACGTGTATGCTTAAGCTTACGCTTACGTTGATGTTTCTGCACCTGTTTCCTTCTATACCTCCCTTCTGTCTATTCCCGCGGAAGCGGAGGCGCAGAACGACAACGCGCCCGTCATGGAGTGGCTGTACCTGAAGGGGATCAGCGTGGAGGACGGCAGCCCTGCTCCCTCTCTCCGCGCGCCGAGGCCGTCCGAGAGGGACCGCGTCGATGCGACCGATGCGACTCGGGGCCATCTTTGATCGCCTGGCGCTAACGGGCGTGGCCGGGCGGGGGGCCGGGGGGTGGGTCGGGTATGGCCAGGGCCCCAGGTAAGGGGACCCGGGTAGTGGTAGGGCCTCCGAGCCCCTAGATAGGTCAGAGTCACTAAACCAGGTCTCTCGCGTTTTTGCGGGTGACGGCAGCTCGGGTGAGTGGAACAGGGCGGGGGTGCGTCCCCCAGTACACATCCCTCAACCAGGCCCCACTAAACCCAGTTTGGCCAACGCCCGCGTGGGGCGTTGGCCACGTCGCGAGTCGCGCCGGCGCTGTCTGGGAACGCCCAAGAAGGGTTCATATTCCCAGACGGCGCCAGCGCGGATCGTGACGTGACCAGGGACGGGGGGGGGCCGGGGGCGGGCGCGCCCCGGCACGGGCTCCTCGTTGTCAAGTTCGTCCAGGTCGATCCAGCATCGAACTCGGATGTTGCGTTTCTCCGATGCGGCCCCCTGTTTGCGCAGCGCAGCTGCGCATCCAGGCGCAGCCGATTCGATCCGACTTCGATTCCGATGCGATGCTGCTCGATCCGACGCACTGTCCGAGCCGATCCCATTTCCCGATTCGGTGCTGGCTGATCCTGTGCTGACGGGGCCAGAGTAATTAGTTAGATGGGGTCGGAAGATCGATGCACATCGCCGATGCATCGGCGATGCTGCGCGATTCTGAGCCCGACTTTCTTCATTCTGAAGTCGCCGATTCATCGGTAATGCGGTGCGATTTCCGAGCCCACTACTCCGGTCCAATTTTGGGTGCCTCCAGAGCTTGTCTTTATGCTGTCGTGTGTGTGTGTGTGTGTGTAATGAGATTGTGGCCCCCGTTGCAGCCCTTCGTGGCCCCCTCGCTGTCCTTCGTGGCCCCGTTGCAGCCCTTCGTGCCCCCCTTGCTACCCTTCGTGGCCCCGCTCCTTCGTGGCCCCCTCGCTGCCCGTCGTGGCCCCGTTGCAGATCGCGCTGTCGCTCTAGACTTCTCGCGATTCATGCAGGACGCACGCTTTAGCAACCCGCTTGCTCGACCCGCCCGTTATTGCCTATCCGCCCGATCTGCCCGTCTGGTTCTGCCACTTCTTTGCTGCTCCCAGCCCCCCTTCTGCTACTCTCTCTCGTGCTCCATCATCCTCGTTTACCCTTGTCCCTTCCTTCCATCCGTCCTCTCTTCCCCTGCCTCAGGGGCTCCACGAAATACACGTTGCAGGTAAGGAAAACATGCCCCCAAGGGGGTACGATCAAAGACGAAGAGGGCGGGTATCGAGGGTTTGGGATATACGTGCTGAGTGACACGCGAGCAGATAAGCGCGATCAGTCTTAAACTGATTGTTGTTGCTGTCCTGCTGTTCTGAAGAATAATTTTGTTGATCCCCCTCCGGTACCAATTGTACGTGTTCCAGATATGTATTTTTCCCGGGGCTCGCTCCCGGTTTTTATCAAGGAAAGCGAGGGGTCACCAAATTGTGCCCCTGGTCCCCGGTTTACAGCAACAGCGGCTCCTGCCTGATGCGTCCTTACAATATATTCCAAAATATCGCTCTCGCGCGGGACGTCTTCACAATCTATGTATGAATCGCGCTCTCGCGCGGGACTTTCTCTTCATTTATTGAAACGCCGCTCACTTGACACTCAGGAATCACGCTCTCGCTTTGGACTTCCTTAAGATTTATCCGTAAGGGCTTCGCCCCCATGCCGCCAGCCCCCCTCTCTTAGAATGGGACTTGCCAGAGCTGTGTTGGGATGTCTGGACGCTGACGTGAAGCAATGTCGGGACTTCACGCGAGGGCCAATATCAATTTACGAGGGTTTATGGCTTCGGCGGCGCGAATGTAAGGTAAGCTGCTATTGTTTATGGCTTCGGGGACGCGAATCTTGCCCAATTTACGAAGGTTTGTGGCCTCGGGGACGCACAGATCTGTAATTTCCCAAGGTTTATGGCCGCCTCGGGGTGTAAATATTTGGCATTTTTTGTTAAGGTCTATGGCCTCGGGGACGCGAACATTGTTTGATTTGCTGGGGTTTGTGGCCTCGGTGACGCAAGTACGGTGTAATTTACGCAGGTTTGTGGCCCTGGGGACGTGATGTTTAATGTTTGCGGGTTTACGGCTTCGGGGGCTCAAATATTTGGTAATTTACAGCGGTTTCCCGCTTCGGAGGCGCGAATATCGCGTAATGTAGTAGGGTTTATGGCTTCGGGGACGCGAGCATTGCGTAATTATAATGGGTTATGGCTTCGGGGACGCGAGCATGGTATACTTTGCGAAGGTTTTCTGGCCTTGGGGACGCGAACATGGCGTAACTTACTAGGGATTATGGCCTTGGGGGCGCGACAATTATATGTTTGTACGTGTCCCACGACCCCCGGGGAATTCAGACAACGCGACTCGGGAACGCTAACCAGGACGCTTTTCGGCTCCCCCCCCTAGAGCGTTCAGCAACACTTGACAGTAAGGAAGCAGAAAGCAGGTCTGTCACAGTGGAAACTGGAAAATGCAACTGGTACAGGGAGCTGCAAGCCTAATCTTCGCAGCCTGATGGCCCCGCAAGGGGGCCGGCGGATTTGTTGATCGCGCTATCGCTTGAGACTTCACGCGATTCACGCAGGACGCACGCTTCAGCAACCCGCCTGCTCGACCTGGCCGTCTGGGCCCGCCTTCCCGACCCGCCCGTCGGGGTCTACCTGCCCGATCTGCCTTTCTGGTTCTGCCACGTTCTTTCCATTCCTAGCCCCCTTTTCTTCTACTTTCTCTGGTGCTCCATCCTCTCCCTCCCCCTTGGCCCTTCCTTCCATCCGTCCTCTCTTCCCCTGCCTCAGGGGCTCCACGAAATACACGCTGCAGGTAAGAAAGATATATACCCTCAAGGGCGTACGATCGAAGACAAAGAGGGCGGACATTTACATTTTGGGATTTACGTGTTGGATGGCCCGTTGGCTGACAAGACCGAACAGTCTTAAACTGATTGTTGTCATTGTTGTTGTTGTTGTTGTTGTTGTTGTTGGTGGTGTCTTTGTTGTTGTTGTTGTTGTTGTTGTTGTTGTTGCTGCTGGTGTTGTTGTTGCTGCTGTTGTTGTCGTTTTTGTTTTTGTTGTTGTTGCTGCTGCTGTTGTTGTTGCTGTTGTAGTTGTCGTTGTTGTTGTTGTTGTTGTAGTAGTTGTTGTTGCTGTAGTGTTCGCAACGATTTTAACATAAAAACATCAAAAAACCAATGGTTTGTCAAAAAAAACTTGTCAACATTTCATCCCGCGCGCTCTTGCGGATTCGTAGGAAACCCAACACTTTTTAAACATTTCTGTCAAACGGGCTTTTGCGAGCAACTTTTCCGAACTTCTGCAACAACGGTTGCGCACCTGCCAGGGCCATCATCCCTGTCAAATAATACCATGCGGGACACATTCGTTTTTTCTTCGCGCGCGCACGCCGTCGTCGTCGGCCGCGGGGCCCTGAATAGTAGCCACGGTCGTCCGCATGCCACGAAGTGAAGTGTCCGAACGTCATAGGGCGGGAAGCTGGGTGTGGGTGGTGGCGAAGAGTCGTTTGGAAATTTGGTAGAGCTTGAACCGGCCCCCCCACAAAGTGGGGGTATTGCCCGCCTCCTATGAAAACCCTGGCACTGGTGAGAACGGAGTGTCCCCACGTGCTAGTAATTGTTGTTGTTGTTGTTGTTGTTGTTGTTGTTGTTGTTGTTGTTGTTGCTGCTGGTGTTGTTGTTGCTGCTGTTGTTGTCGTTTTTGTTTTTGTTGTTGTTGCTGCTGCTGTTGTTGTTGCTGTTGTAGTTGTCGTTGTTGTTGTTGTTGTTGTTGTTGTTGTAGTTGTTGTTGTTGCTGCTGCTGCTGCTGCTGCTGCTGTTGTTGTTGTTGTTGCTGCTGCTGTTGTTGAACATTATTTATTCTAAAGAATAATTATTGTTGGGCCCCCTGGTGCGCGCCCCCCCTGCGCCGCCTAGGCCGCAGCTACATTTTCATCATTTTCGTGAGGAAGCCTCAGAAAAGAGGGTGTGTACAGGATCCGGTTGTTTTGTTGTAATCCGCTTTCCCTTGCAAAAAACAATAGAAAATGACATTTCTTGTTCTAATATAATCAAATTTCAAGAATCCCTTGCAAAAAATAAGGTAAAGTGGACATTCGCGCGCGCAAGACGAAATCCTTCCAAAACCTTAGTGTTCGCAGCGATTTTAACATAAAAACATCAAAAAACCAATGGTTTTTCAACAAAAAATTGTCAAAATCTCATCCCGCGCGCTCTTGCGGATTCGTAGGAAACCCAACACTTTTTAAACATTTCTGTCAAACGGGCTTTTGCGAGCAACTTTTTCGAACTTCTGCGACAACGGTTGCGCACCTGCCAGGGCCATCATCCCTGTCAAATAATACCATGCGGGACACATTCGTTTTTTCTTCGCGCGCGCACGCCGTCGTCGTCGGCCGCGGGGCCCTGAATAGTAGCCACGGTCGTCCGCATGCCACGAAGTGAAGTGTCCGAACGTCATAGGGCGGGAAGCTGGGTGTGGGTGGTGGCGAAGAGTCGTTTGGAAATTTGGTAGAGCTTGAACCGGCCCCCCCACAAAGTGGGGGTATTGCCCGCCTCCTATGAAAACCCTGGCACTGGTGAGAACGGAGTGTCCCCACGTGCTAGTAATTGTTGTTGTTGTTGTTGTTGTTGTTGTTGTTGTTGTTGTTGTTGTTGTTGAACATTATTAATTCTAAAGAATAATTATTGTTGGGACCCCTGGTGCGCGCCCCCCCTGCGCCGCCTAGGCCGCAGCTACATTTTCATCATTTTCGTGAGGAAGCCTCAGAAAAGAGGGTGTGTACAGGATCCGGTTGTTTTGTTGTAATCCGCTTTCCCTTGCAAAAAACAATAGAAAATGACATTTCTTGTTCTAATATAATCAAATTTCAAGAATCCCTTGCAAAAAATAAGGTAAAGTGGACATTCGCGCGCGCAAGACGAAATCCTTCCAAAAGCTTAGTGTTCGCAGCGATTTTAACATAAAAACATCAAAAAACCAATGGTTTTTCAACAAAAAATTGTCAAAATCTCATCCCGCGCGCTCTTGCGGATTCGTAGGAAACCCAACACTTTTTAAACATTTCTGTCAAACGGGCTTTTGCGAGCAACTTTTTCGAACTTCTGCGACAACGGTTGCGCACCTGCCAGGGCCATCATCCCTGTCAAATAATACCATGCGGGACACATTCGTTTTTTCTTCGCGCGCGCACGCCGAAATCTCCAAAAACCATTGGGCTTCTTAAGGATTTTAGCACCGCGCATTATAAAATCACACGAATCGCACCGTAGGTCCTCGAAAAACACCTGCACGACTTTTCAAAATTTCTACCCGCGCGCGCTGTCCGAATCCTAAAAAAAACCAATGGTTTTCCAACATTTATGTTACATGAGCTCGCGCGAGCTACTTTCGCACGCTCTTGCAACGGGGTTCGCGCGCCTGCCAGGGGCCACAATCCCTTGCGGTTGCGCCATAGGTTGCGCCCTCGGATGTTCTGTGGAAGGCTTAACAACTTCTGTGGGTTAACAAGGCTTAACAACTTCTGTGGGTGTACGAACGTAGGCTTAACAACTTCTGTGGGTGTGTACTCCGCGCCAGTGTAGTAGCCACGGTCGTCCGCAGGCCACGAAGTGAAGTGTCCGAACGTCATAGGGCGGGAAGCTGGGTGTGGGTGGTGGCGAAGAGTCGTGTGGATATTTGGTAGAGCTTGCACTGCCCCCCCACAAAGTGGGGGTATTGGCTGGCGTCGCATGAGAACCCTGGCACTGGTGAGAACACTGAGCGTTCGGGTAAAGTGATTGTTGTTGTTGTTGTTGTTGTTATTGTTGAGTTCTCATTCCCAGACAATAATTCTAGTTGATCCCCCCTCCTGTGCACATAGTGTTTTTCAATTTAAGTGCTCCTCCCGGGGCTCGTTCTTTTGTCGTTACACGGGAGAGCCGGGGGTCACCAAGCTAGCCCCCTGGCCCCCGAGTTACAGCAACAACGGCTTCCGCCTGATACTTCCGCACAATTTATTCCGAAATCGAGCTCTCGCGTGGGACTTCCTCACAATGTCTGCAGGAACGCGCTCTCGCGTGGGACTTCCTCGCAATCCTCACAATGTCTGCAGGAATCGCGCTCTCGCGTGGGACTTCCTCGCAATGTACAATTCAGACGCCGCCACCTCGACGCTCAGGAATCGCGCTCTCGCTTTGGATTCTTGACGATTTATTTGGGAATCGCGCTGTCGCTTGAGACTTCCACGCGATTCATGCAGGACGCAAGCTTCAGCAACCCGCCTGGTCGACCAGGCTTCCTGGGCCCGCCTTCCCGACCCGCACGTTAGGGTCTACTCGCCTGATCTGCCCGTTTGGTTCTGCCACGTATTTTCTGCTTCTAGTTTCCGTCCTTTCTTCCTCTGCAATAGCGGCTGGACGGAATAATCGCTGCCCACAAACATATCCCCCACGGGGTAAGTTTGCAGACGAAGAAGAGGGCGGATATCGAGGGTTTGGGGTATACGTGTTGAGTGGCACGCGAGCAGAGACCGAAAAGTCTCAACATGACTGTTATTGTTGTTGTTGTTGTTGTTGTTGTTGTTGTTGTTGTTGTTGTTGTTGTTGTTGTTGTTGTTGTTGTTGTTTTTTGTTGTTGTTGCTGCTGCTGCTGTTGCTACTGCGGTTGCTGCTGTTGCTGCTGCAGCTGTTGTTGTTGTGGTTGTTTTCGCTGCTGCTGCTGTTGTTGTTGGTGTTGCTGGTGTTGGTGTTGGTGCTGTTGTTGTTGTTGCTGCTGCTGCTGTTGTTGTGTTTGTTGTTGCTGTTGTTGTTGTTGCTGCTGCTGCTGTTTTTGGTGTTGGTGTTGTTGTTGGTGTTGGCGTTGGTGTTGTTGTTGTTGTTGTCGTTGTTGTTGTTGTTGTTGTTGGTGTTGGTGTTGTTGTTGTTGTTGAACATTATTAATTCTAAAGAATAATTATTGTTGGGACCCCTGGTGCACGGCCCCCCTGCGCCGCCTAGGCCGCAGCTACATTTTCATCATTTTCGTGAGGAAGCCTCAGGTAATACGATGTCATCAAGATCCGGTTGTTTTGTTGTAATCCGTTTTCCCTTGCAAAAAACACTATAAAATGACATTTCTTGTTCTAATATAATCAAATTTCAAGAATCCCTTGCAAAAAATAAGGTAAAGTGGACATTCGCGCGCGCAAGACGAAATCCTTCCAAAACCTTAGTGTTCGCAGCGATTTTAACATAAAAACATCAAAAAACCAATGGTTTTTCAACAAAACATTGTCAAAATCTCATCCCGCGCGCTCTTGCGGATTCGTAGGAAACCCAACACTTTTTAAACATTTCTGTCAAACGGGCTTTTGCGAGCAACTTTTTCGAACTTCTGCGACAACGGTTGCGCACCTGCCAGGGCCATCATCCCTGTCAAATAATACCATGCGGGACACATTCGTTTTTTCTTCGCGCGCGCACGCCGAAATCTCCAAAAACCATTGGGCTTCTTCAGGACAACCATCGGGACAACCATCGAGACAACCATCGGGACAACCATATCCTCTCTCTCTTGTGTATTCCCACATCCCTCAGGAATTTGCCCTACAGATGTGATCAACTATCTTGTGAGTACGTATCATGTGTATCATGTGTATCATGTACCATATGCATCATATGCAACAGATGTTCTGTGGAAGGCTTAACAACTTCTGTGGGTTAACAAGGCTTAACAACTTCTGTGGGTGTACGAACGTAGGCTTAACAACTTCTGTGGGTGTGTACTCCACGCCAGTGTAGTAGCCACGGTCGTCCGCAGGCCACGACGTGAAGTGTCCGAACGTCATAGGGCGGGAAGCTGGGTGTGGGTGGTGGCGAAGAGTCGTGTGGATATTTGGTAGAGCTTGCACTGCCCCCCCACAAAGTGGGGGTATTGGCTGGCGTCGCATGAAAACCCTGGCACTGGTGAGAACACTGAGCGTTCGGGTAAAGTGATTGTTTGTTGTTGTTGTTGTTGTTGTTGTTGTTGTTGTTGTTGTTGTTGCTGCTGCTGCTGTTGCTGTTGTTGTTGTTGCTGTGTTGTTGTTGTTGTTGTTGTTGTTGTTGTTGTTGTTGTTGTTGTTGTTGTTGTTGTTGTGTGTTGTTGTTGTTGTTGTTGTTGTTGTTGTTGTTGTTGTTGTTGTTGTTGTTGTTGTTGTTGAACATTATTTATTCTAAAGAATAATTATTGTTGGGCCCCCTGGTGCGCGCCCCCCCTGCGCCGCCTAGGCCGCAGCTACATTTTCATCATTTTCGTGAGGAAGCCTCAGGTAAAACGATGTGATCAGATCCGGTTGTTTTGTTGTAATCCGTTTTCCCTTGCAAAAAACACTATAGAAATGACATTTCTTGTTCTAATATAATCAAATTTCAAGAATCCCTTGCAAAAAAATAAGGTAAAGTGGACATTCGCGCGCGCAAGACGAAATCCTTCCAAAAGCTTAGTGTTCGGAGCGATTTTAACATAAAAACATCAAAAAACCAATGGTTTTTCAACAAAAAAATGTCAAAATCTCATCCCGCGCGCTCTTGCGGATTCGTAGGAAACCCAACACTTTTTAAACATTTCTGTCAAACGGGCTTTTGCGAGCAACTTTTTCGAACTTCTGCAACAACGGTTGCGCACCTGCCAGGGCCATCATCCCTGTCAAATAATACCATGCGGGACACATTCGTTTTTTCTTCGCGCGCGCACGCCGTCGTCGTCGGCCGCGGGGCCCTGAATAGTAGCCACGGTCGTCCGCATGCCACGAAGTGAAGTGTCCGAACGTCATAGGGCGGGAAGCTGGGTGTGGGTGGTGGCGAAGAGTCGTTTGGAAATTTGGTAGAGCTTGAACCGGCCCCCCCACAAAGTGGGGGTATTGCCCGCCTCCTATGAAAACCCTGGCACTGGTGAGAACGGAGTGTCCCCAGTCTTAAATGATTGTTGTTGTTGTTGTTGTTGTTGTTGTTGTTGTTGTTGCTGCTGCTGTTGTTGTTGTTGTTGTTGGTGTTGTTAGATTTTTTTGTTGTTGTTGTTCTTGTTGGTGTTGTTGTTGCTGCTGCTGCTGTTGTTGTTGTTGCTGATGCTATTGCTGCTGTTGTTGTTGTTGTTGTTGTTGGTGTTGTTGTTGTTGTTGTGGTTGTTGTTGTTGTTGTTGTGGTTGTGGTGGTGGTGGTGGTGGTGGTTGGTGGTGGTGCTGATGCTGATGATGATGGCGATGCTATGATGATGACGCTGCTGCTGCTGCTGCTGCTGATGATGATGATGATGATGATGATGATGATGATGATGATGATGATGATGATGATGATGATGATGATGATGATGATGATGATGATGATGCTGGTGGTGCTGCAGCTGCTGACGACGCCGACGACGGTGACAGCGGTTCCCCGCTTTCGCTGAGCGCGGGGTCGCGGTCCGAGGAGCAGGACAACTGGGGGCGGACGGCTCTGCAGTGGGCCTGCTACAAGGCCCGCGCCCCCGCCGCCCCGAGGGGCGGAGGGGCCCCGCGC